CCATCCATCCATCCATCCATCCATCATCTTTTCACTATACCCCTGCTTCTGTTTTCCCATTTTCAGTAAATGGCATCCCATCTACTCATTACTCAAGGCAGAAACACAGACATCATTCTTGTTATGTCTGTCTCTCTCCCAATCCCCATTGATTCTACATTCTAATTACTTCTAAAATCCATCCACTTGCCCATTTTCCTCCAAAAGCACCCTAATCTTGGCCTCCTTCACCTCTCTTCTCATAGAGATTCTCTTGTCATACTCTACTTTTCTTTCATAGCACTTATTAAAATTATAATTAGTAACTGCATTTAATGCCTGTGTCCACTAAACTATCACTCAGTTAGTTCCTTGAAATCAGAAACAATCTATCATATTCATCATTCTATTCCCAACACCTACCAGAGTGCTTCACACACAGTAGAAGCTCAATTAGTATTTGTTGAATGAATAAATGATTGAAGAGATAGATGAAAAAAACCAAAACACTTGCTGAGTCCTTTCTCTGTGCTGGAAACTGTTATAGGCTTCATCCTATAATCTTTCTCATTTCACCACCACCATGAGGTAGGTATTATTATTTCCATCTTATAGACAAGGAAACTGAAGCCCAGAGACACGAAAAGCTTTGTCTAAGTGTCTTGGGTCCTGGCCTTCTAATTCCACACCTATGTTTTTGCTCAACCCTGGAAAATGGCAGCGAATGTTGGGGTGCTCCAGGGTATAGATGTCCTCCCAGAGGAAAAGTTTCCATTTGCCCTTGTTGATTGTTCATGAAATGAAGACTTGTTAGTCACTGCTGTAATCGGAGTGCTGGTAAGCATTTCCATAAATCTGCTCCGGGCCGAGAGACACCTCTTTGATTGTAACACCTTTTTCCCTCACAATAAAAGAATTCATAGATTGGCACCCCAAACTGTATAACCCAATGCTCCATTCAGCTAGGTGTAGCCATGTGATTGAGTTCTAATCAATAATTCGTCATCGTCACACCCAAGAATCTCCTTCTTAGGTTCTGCTTCTGTGCTTTTCCCTGGAATGCTGACATTGCCCTCTATTTTTCCAACCTTCCATTTGCTAAAGAAAGCATCCTTTCTACAGACTCTCTGACCAAGCTTCAGTCAACTTGCTTCCAAAGTCTACACTTAGTTGATGCCACTGGCCTTCATCTCGTTCCAACACTGCCTGCGTCACTGACGGGCAGCTCCAATACTAATGCCGCTTCGTCCTATACTGGTTGCAGGTTTAGATGTCAACTAGGCAGAATTTCAGTGGGACCGGAACTGGTAGTGTGACGTGAAAGCAAGATTTTGTTTTTTCTCCCGGGATGGTCTTAGACAATATGTGTGTAAAGCCAGCCTTATGCCAAGGGACCCTTTTCACATAGTGTGTAGATTTTATCACGAATTCTTAAAGGTAGCATCAGCAAACTCCAGACATTAGAGATAAGCCCATCTCTAATGTTTCACGGGGCCTGGGGCAAAAGGAGGCCTGTGGATCATAGGCCTAATATTTAAAATTGATAAGTCAAGCTAGCAAACATTTAAATAAAACATGTCTGCCTTCCTTCCTTGATAAATACAACTTCATAATGACCTAGAAGTGTCAGGATTTAGACTTCTCAGAATTCTTGGAGTTCCACCCAGAACATGGCAGCCTGGGGACTGCCATCTCATTGGAGGTTCCCATTGTCCTCTCTAATGCTCCTCCCACCCTCCTCTCTGTCCTGTACCTCTGGGGTTTCTGTGCAGGCTCGCGGGTGGCCCAGGCCACATGGCCATACTTCCCTGCCTCACCCATGCCCCCATTACCAGTTGTCCCTTGGCCATGCCTTGGAAGGATGGACCAGGTAATTGGTCTACACAGGTCCTGGAATTGGGACTGGGTCCCTTTGGACAGGGAATTCTAGGGTGCGTGGTCCTCGGGGTGAAATTTGCAGGGCCCTTCTTTGCTGTTGGGAGAGGTACAGCTAGTAAGGTCCAGAGCAGGACTTAGGTAAAGCGTCTAATAGAAGTACTGTGTGGGCCTGGGACATTGGGTTGATAAATAATGATAACTAATGGATGATATCACTGATAAATTAGAAACAGCATGGATTTGAAATCATACAGGCTTAGGGAAAAGCCTTAGCTCTGCTAGTCACTCAGCACGTGTTCTAAGATAAGGCACTTAATTGCTCTGGTCATAGTTTCTTCATTGGGCAAGTGGTGATAATATCTACCAGCCAAGGTCATGGTGAGACATTCACTTGACCCTCTATGCAACAAGGCAACCGAGTGCAGAGGACTCCAGGCCGGACTGACTGGATGGAATCCCAGCTCCATCGCTCACTGGCTATGCAGCCCTGGGTAACTCACTCAACCTCCATGTGCCTCTGTTTCCACATCTGGGAAGTGGGAATAATCACAGTAGTGATCACACAGGATTGTTGAGAGGAATAAACGAGGTAAGACATGTCAAGCACTTAGAAGAGTTCCTGGCACATGGTAAGCTCCAAAGCACACAGCCTAGCGCCTAAAGTAGAATCGACAACAAAGAACTCTTAGCGTGTTTATGGAGTGTTTACTCTGTGCCTATGGGTGTTGTACAGTGGAGACCCACAAAGAAACGAAACGTCGTCTTACACTCATGGAGGTGACACAACAGAATTCCAATTCACCTCCTTTTGATCTGTCCCATCTGTGTGCTGAGTGATGGATGATGATAATAATAAATAGATGGCATTGGTACACGCTCTCAAGCCACTTCACCTCCTTCCTCCTATTCGACCCATATGTCAACCCTGAGAGGTGGTAGGGCAGCCAAGTGTTCCCAATGGAGAAGTCCCTGTTCAAAGCCACATAGAACCTCTAAGTGGCAACCGTGAGTTAGACCTCATGCTTTTAAGATTTAGGGGATTCAGTCCAGACCCTCTGAGTTCTTCATGATCTGGACCCTGCTGGCCGATGGCCCATTTCTCCTCCGCTTTTCCACCCACAATATGGGCAGTCAACTTTCTGCGACTTCCTCAACACATCCTACACTTGTATGCCTCTGAGGCTTCACGCATGTGTTTTCTCGGCTGAGGGTGGCTTCCTGCTCTTCTCTGCCTTGCTGCCTGTGTCTCGTGTTCCAAGATCCTCACCTACTCTATCACATTGGCCTTGAAAGCACGTCCCTCACGAGGCTGGGTTAGGTGTCCCTCCTCAGGGTTCCCAGTGTGCTGTGTGTAACCATTCTAACATATATATCGCTCTGTGTTCTAATTACACATTGTTTGTCCGTCCCCTGCCCCCACACACCTCGTCTGTGAGAACCTTGAAACCCGACACTGTGTCTCCATGCTCCCTGGATCTCCAGTATCCGGCACCAAGTGGCAGGGCACAAGGCACATGTTTAACAAATGTTTGCTGACGGCGTAAATGAATAATGTCTTCCAGGGACAGGCCATAGGGTATCCCGTCCTCAAGACACTTTACTGCCATCTACAGGTACACTGTTGTAACAACACTTACAGATCCACCAAATACGATGTGGGGTCAGATTGTACAGTGTCCAACCTGCACAACTGGCAGCCCTCGCCTTGTTTCTCACCGGGAACCCAGAGCTCTCTGCACCACACCAATACCACCCAAGTCGGTCTGGCCTTCAAAGGCCTCACCTTCCCAGGAGAAACACTCGTTATGCCCATCTCTGGGGTTTTTACTGCAGGATCTGGCAGACAGACGCAGGCTGGAGCAGAGGGTCAGGCGGTCCATCCCCCTGCTTGGCCGGGAGTCAGAAGTCTGTCTCCTGACAGGCCACACAGACTGCTGCCTCCTTGCCGGGGGCTCATTCAGGCTTGAGCTGCCTCTGAACAGTTCTGTCTGGCAGAGGGAAGGGTAGGGATGGTCTGGAATTCTAGATGCCTTGGGGGCTGAGGTTGCTGCCTCCATAATGGCCCAGCTGTTTGACCTCAGGTAAAATGGATGACCCCACTGTGCCGAGGGCTCTGTCTCCCTAATGCAGACCTCTTCCTAGGGCCCTAACATGTTTATTCCCATAATGAGCTTCCTGAATAGCCCAGCCAATCAGTCAAGTCCCTGGCCTCGGGGAAGCGGGTGGGGGCAGCTCTGGATTCCACCAAGCTTCCATCTCTGTGGGTGGTCTCATATTTTACTGCCACATCAGAGGCACCAGGAAGGAGAATATTATAAAACCGGCGCTGCCTGGGGTGGGAAATCCCTATCGGGGGAGGCGGGATGTGGTGTGAGAGAGACAGAGATTTATGAGGAGTGGGTGCCAAGTT